CTGGTGGTACCTCCTGCTGCCAGCATTGCTGTAGACAGCATCATCATTTTGATCCCCAAGTTGTCTAGAAAATTGTATACACAGCTGTCAAGGGCCCTGGCAGTTACTTCTCTCTCCTACCCCCCTAAATGGCCCTGCAACTGAAACAGAAAACAGAAGCTTAAGAGGTGAAAATGCCCCAAAGACAGACACATACGTCACTGCTGTCATCGTGAGCCTATGGCATTCACTGTTACTGTGGCTAGATGAGTAGGAGGAGTCAGAAAGTAATAAGATGTTCCCATGAGTAAGGGTATTCACAGTTCCTAAAACTATATAAAACTATATAAAACATAGAGTTCTCTCAGGCTGCAGGGAATAAACAAACTGCTAAAAGTTAATGAAATGTCCCTTGTTTGAGCAGGTTTCTTTTCCCTTCCTTTGAAGTGGCTGTTCAGGACGCTGCATAGGTAGCTCATTCCATCTGGCACTGCCCTTATTTCTTTAACTGCATGAGTTCCCTGCCCTCTCAGTGTCCATTCTCACTGCATTTGTTCCCATCACACTTCCTAGTCTGTCTGGTTTCCATCCACTGTCAGTCTCATATCTGGGAATTAGCAGCCTTCTGCCTACAATAGATTTGGGATCCACTCTATACCTCCTCTACATTCATAAAGCAAGCTGATATCTAGTCAAGCAAGAAAGAATCCAGCTTCACAGAAATAATCCCAAGCACTCCTATTATTAGCTTTTTGTGGCTACATTAATTTTAGAAGAAAAATTAGGTCCAAAGTGTTGAGCTCATTTTAATAAAGATTCACGGTCATAATTTAATCCCCTGATGAGAAAGAACCAGCTTTTGAGCACATCAGATTCATTATAAACTCTTTACAAAGTCATCAGAGTCCAACAAGTGATGGTAAGAAAAACAGTCTAAAGGTGAATGATTCCATGTATAAATTAGATTAAATAGAAGTTACGAACCTCCACTTCCAGTATCCTTCACTGCCAGCAACCATGGATTTCCAGGGGAGAGATGAAAGCATTCAGAAAAGAAGATAAACAAGAAAGCAGCTCTGAAACAGGCGTGCTGATAAAAACAACCAAGGGAGCATGAGATTTGACACAAAAGAGAAAGTGCTGGAGATTTTGTAGTGAGTCCCAAGTGGGGATGAAGTTAGGGACTGAAGCTGTAATCCGAGTAATCTTTCCTGAGTATCCAGTCACCATCCTCATGGTTTCAATTGGACCAGAGTCCTTTTCTCCCACAAGTGTCTCAGTCACTGCTCCTTCCTTTTGCATCCAGGAACCAGCTGCAAGCTCCAGGAAATTTCCAAGAGTCTGATACCACTCTCTAGTGACTATTTCCTTCCTTCCACATTTCTTTTAGCCCCGTGCATCCTATTATTTCCGTTCAGGGCAAGGCAATGGAGTTATGAAGGAGATCTATGGAGACTTCTTTCTTCTTTAGCATGCTTACTTGTGAGGATATACTGAGCAGAAGGAGGCAGAGGCATCTGGGTGTTTCATCATTACGTTAGTGCAATAAAGCAGGAGCAATATCACAGTAGCATGTGGAGGTCAAGTCACAGACAGTGCTAGATGCTGTACAGATACATTGAAAAAAGTCAAGTTTCTGACCCCACATATTCTGTAGAGCAGATTACTTAACAGTTAGTGCTGCTCTCCATGGGATATTGTTCTGCTAGACATTTCCTGTGCCCTTGTTACACTTGGCCTAAAGGACAGACAAGCATCAATACTGTTTATGTCTCAAGAACGACAGATCTTGTCATAGAATACTGTCTTCAACAAGTAGCCTTGCCAATGTGGGAGAGGATGCTGGGCTTTCTCTAATAATACCTCCTCTCCCTAGAACAGTGCTTCTGCAAAGGCCTCTGTTCCTGGACCAGTATGCAGGAAAGAATCAGATGAGGGGAAAATGAAATTGGTACATCCTGATGCCTCGGGCACCTTGCAAGGCATCTACCCTGGAGAAGGAGGGGTAGGGGGAAGAGTCCCAGGGAATCTCTAGGCTAGAGATCCTTGATGATTTTGATGAAGTCATGCTGGGTAGAAGAAAAGATCACAATGTTTGGAGATGCCCTTCCAACATCAGCCAAATCTACTGCTACCTACTCCAAACCAGTAGGAAGGAATCTACTTTACAACATTTGACATAAGGTTTTGGGAGATACCCCACAATGGGAGAACCCTTCCCAAAGAGTGTGCTGCAGGACAGGTGAGCTGGGCTCCTGGTATGCAGGGTTCAAAAGGGTATTTGTGTTAAATCAGCTCACACCAACTCTTTGTGGGTGATGGCACATCACACAGGTCTTAGGCTGTCTCTTCCTGCCTCATTTTCAAGTGTGGGGTCAGTTACTTCTGGGGGCTGTGGCTGTTGAATCACCAGTGGGACCTGGGCACATCACTGAACCACAGTGAATGAATGGAGAGACAGGAATGAAGAAACTGTCTGGTTTCCCCAGCAGTCCTGCAGCATCAGAGCAGATTTAGTGGTAAGCCTAAAGTTTCCTTTGTCAGCCTCACAGCCCATGGTTCTCCTAAGATCGGTATAAAATTCCCCTGATTGTGAGCTGCAGACATTTAAACCTGTGCACCTTGGGGAAATGTTTCACAAGGTGTGAGGTTAAGATGAGATTTTCAGGGTTGTTTTCCCCTTTCCACAGGTCCTTCCCCCTGCCCCTCTGTCCCCATGATTGCTTATCTACAGCTAGAGGGTACCACTTCAGTTCCAGTCTGTGTGTGCTCCTTTTTATTGTGATTCCTCTCTGTCCTCTGTGTGTCCTTACAGCTGGCAACACCTTGTATGTCTTCAGGAAATATTTGTAAAAGCTGCAGTTTAGTTTGCAGTCGGACACAGGGGAAGCACCAGGACTTTGAGGAAATTCTGGCACGAGGGCCCAGTGGCTCAACAGCAATGAAACCTTCTGTTCCCTGCAGGGGAGGCTCAAACCTCCCTTAATAAACCTGTGGTGGCTGTGGCTGTGTTACTATGGGTATGGCTAGCCCAGGGAATTGCTAGTCCATCCCTAAGGCACAACCTGAGCCACCTCAGAGGAAAGCTTGTCAGGAACAGTGGGAAGGGTGTAGGGCAGGTTGGGGTGGATGCTGCCTTCTCCTCCTGCCCTGCGGGCAATGGCAGAGCCCTTGTAGCAAGGAACCAGGACACAGCTGGGTTTCGGGGCAGCACCCCAGGAAGGCACCAACAGCACTGGCCCAGCACAGCAATCCCTGGGGAACCCAGGAGGCCCCTCTCCAGTGGGGGGGTGGGGGGGCAGGGAGCAGAAGAAGGAGAAGACGAGAAGGTGGCAGGGTGGAGGGAACAGCATGGCCCTGGATAGCTAGGGAGCTCTGCCCCCTAAGCTGCCAGAGACAAACCTGCTTCTACACCCAGGATCTGTCAACCTCTGCAGTCCGCATGGGTCTATGGGGTCCACCTGCTCCAACAGCCTGCAAACACCTATATGGTCTGCCCACACTCATCCACAGGGACGATACCTCCCACACAGTCTGATAGTGACCATATCCCTGAATACATTCATAGAATCCATAACCCTCATACATATATATAGAGATTTTATAGCCCTCACATCCCTAGGGATCAAACTCCCTGCACACATTTATAGCGACAACAACCTCATGGATGCCTATAGGAAAATACCTACTGCACACACTTATAGGAACCAAATCCCCTGCACTCACTTACAGGGACCATACAGGACTGCACACACCTACAGGGACCATTCCCTCTGCATGGCCCTGTAGGGGCCATTACCCCCTAGACACTTATGGGGACCATACAGACTACCTACCCAGAGGGATCACATTCCCTGAACACCCCTATAAGGACCACGCTCCATGCATATTTACAAGGAGCACACCCCACACCCACCCATAGGGATCGTACCCCCAGACACATCTCTACGGACCATAACTCCGTGCACCATACCTCGCATGTGCCCATGGGGACCACAACCCCTGCACACGCCTACAATCCCGCGTAGACCTACAGGACCCTACCGCACGCACACCTAGAGCGACCAGGGAGCGCAACCCCCCCCC